TTCACGGGTAAATTAATATCTCAGGAGCCACGGAGTTTAGGAGGCTGAAATTTTAGGCTAATGACCTCCTGCCCACGCTAACCCTTGCCCATTCAAATTCAGCGTCCCCTCGCTGTTGAGTGTCACCTATGGCTTCGTGAGAATTTTGGCGGTTAAACTATTAACTCGGGAATCACGGTAAGATATTCACCCTTCAGGATTTCGAATTCAGCTTTCATGAGCTGGTGCGTGAAATTTTTAATTACTTTCCAAATGTTTAACTATTTTTGCATAGACAAAAGTACAAGGCAGTGAAAATCATTAATAGACAATCGTTCGATGGGCTGAATTGCACAAAACGCACGATCGCACCGGCTAGTCTTGTGCGCGTTGCTATTTATATACTTCTGCTGCCTTTTTTAAAAGAAAACGAAAAATTACAAGGCTTATTTCGATGAGGGCGACGCTATTAGTCATCTTTCAACTACCTCGCTTTTCTACTTCAGGGTAATAAAAAAGACATAACTGGGGGCGCACATCGGGATCGCAGGTACGATCATGTAGCTTGTACAGCAGAAATCCACGCAGAAGTATAATTTTTTGCAGAGTTTGGTTACCAAGTTAAACAATAATTTTGCAGTCTGAAATTCACCGCTTTATGGAAGAAATAGCCGTGCGTGAAAATTGGCTTTAAGTTTTTCTACCTGCGCATCCGCAAAATTTGGGGGGTTTCCTCAAGGGTGATTTTAAAACCCTTGGTAGTTCATGGACAAGAGATATCCTCGTAAAATCCCAGCTTCCTAACTACAGTAGTTACAGAGTTAATAGATGACAAAGGCAGAAAACACAGATTCGCACAATCTCTTGGTAGCACGTGGCTTTGCATTTCCCCAGTTATGCAAAAACCCATGCGTTAAAGTCAAAACACTGATAGGTGACGTTTATTGATAAGAAACTAATCACCAGAAAAAAATATATATATTTAAATGTCAAAAACATTATAGCACAGGGCAGAAGCTACACTGGGTCAGTAACGCGTCTCATTAACGACGAAAGCTTTGTAGCAATAATTTGGGCAGCCAAAGTGGCAATGAAGCATTGAATTGTAACAAAAAAAAACCAGCAAAAATTTGCAGGATGTAAATCTGAATACAGATTCGATGCAGCTTTCAGGAGCTGACAATCCAAAAGCAATGAACTCCGAGAACAGTGTTTTATCGCTAACTGGACAAGCGAAAGCCTTGACACTGGATGCTGGTGAGGGAACTGCTCAAGAAGAAAGAGCTGTGCTTCAGAATCAACTCAAAAGGTCTAGCACCGAGGACAGCAAGTTGAAATGTTCCGACGATGCGAACATTGAGCGAGTAGTGCAACAGCAGAACGAGGAGGAGAGTTTTAAAAACATGGATGTAAGCAATATGAAAAGTTCGTGCTTGCAAATCCATAATCGGTCGTTTTGCTCCAAAAGTTGGACGATTTGTCTGATTGCTGCACGAGTTGGATGCACATCCAGAAAATACTTCAATTTTTGTTGCTGAAAAAAGACAATGTGCCAAAAAAGCTACACACTCATCGTGAAACCAGGGTTTAAAAAGTTTTTTTTGTGAGGCCATCAGCTGTTTCAGCATACCTGTGCAAGTTTCTAATACACAGTTCTCTTTATTTAAGATCACAATAATACTGGTCTTCGATTTAGAAATTAAAAATATCTCCGTACTCACATTTTGTAAGAAGCAAAGTGGCCTGGAATTGATTCGTGCCGTAGCGCTCGTAAGCAACAAATATTTCGGGATTTTTTGCTGATAATCAAAAATTTATTACGGGATCATACAAAAAACCATTAAATAATCGCCTCGAACATACCAGATCTCTTGTCTCGATCCTTACTCCCGAAATAATCCTGGAATTTTTCAATATTGAAGACATGCTGAATATTGATATTGAACAAGTTTCTTAATTTTGTAAAAATATGGCAAACAAGCTGAATAAGAAAGCAGACGGACTAGTGTCAACTTCAATCGAACTGAGCTTACCTGATTGTTGGTTTGCTTTCTTTTGTTACAAAATCTAACAATTCGTCTGCATTATTTCATTTTTCTTTTCTCTTCTAAACTATCCAACATTTCCCCCAATCACATAGCGAAATGGGGCATTGCACTGATGAATCCCACCCGTTTCGCTGCATTTTAGTCGTCTGTGTTTGCAGTCAGGGATGAAACACAGACGTTACCCGATG